TTTTTTTATGCTATGTAGAGTAAGGCTCTTACTATACAGTTTGTAGCTTTTAGCTGTTTGGATGCATCAGTTGGTACAAAGGAACAGAATAATGAAAATGAAAATTCTGCATACATCGAACCAAAAGCAATAGGTATTTTGTGTGTATGTAATATTTCTGATTAATTGTAAGTTTGCCTTTGAGACACTGTCTGGTTGTAATAGGACTATAATAGCATTCTTGTGCAGATTTAAATTTCAGTTTGATGTGACTTTAATTAGAAAACATCTATCTACATCATGAAAAATGAAATAAAATAGTCTTTGGAAGAAAAAGTGTATGTCTATGTATAAAACATCTTTGTATTTTTACAATTGTTTGTAACGTGAAATTCAGTTTCTAGGGTTTCTTTTTCTTTTCCTTGGGATGGAGAAGTCTTCAAAATTGAGGTCACATGTTAAGCCATTAAGTTGTTGCTTTTATAAATTGAACTCACATACCATTTAAAATGGAAATTATTATCTTCAGAACTAGGTTTTCTTAATAGCTTACTGTGGAAAAACATATTAGCTTTGTTTTTCTGTAGATGTGAAAAATAGTGTATATATTAGCTACAGGGAAAGGCTTCCCCATACAACATGCTCCACACTGCTGGCTATTGAGTATTTGATATATTAATACATATTTATATTCTGGAGTTTGGGCAGTGTTTGTAAAGTCAGGCAGATTTAGTGCCTAAAATAGTTTATAGCCTCAGAGAAAAGTGTCAGTATAAAAATAATAATTTTATCTTAGTTCTTTACACACGGAATCTGCTTTTTCTTCCCTTGTGAAATCAAACTTGAGATAAAATTAAAAAACAATCAAAAACTTTTTGAGTTTACAGCCATTCAATTCCAAATCTCCATGCTAATGGGAACACAAGAATAGAGACACACAAGTTTTGGACTTGTGCAAAAATATTTTCTACTACTCTGTGGGTATACAACAAGATGCAACTGAGACTGTGACAATGAATACTCACCATTGTATATCTTCAGTGGCAACATTTGCTTTAAAAATAATTCTAGTCATATGCATTTCAACTGTGCTATGACTTGTTCAAGTTTGTGATGGTGCTTCATTATGCCATGTGGACTGAAATATGTCCTACTTGGATAATGTAAACTGAAATACAAAATGATTTGGGACTCTCTCCTTCAATGGTGGCAACTGAAAATGTAAAAACTCCCCAACATGGATAGGATAGCAAAGCTAGCCTGAATATGAATGCTCACTTGTTTGTACACTTCAGCTTATTCTGAGCACTGACCAAGCAATTGAAGGTGGGCTACCATCGACCTTGCTGTCTCAAATACACTTGTGTGCAGCCTTGAGAAAAAGAGCCAGACTTACAGAAGGTTGTCCCTCTGCACTCTCAGGAGCTTCTTACAGTAAGTTTGAGGTACTCAGGGCAAGTCTGCTCCCTAAAGCTAAGAGGCACTGAATAATTGTTGCCTAATTAGAGAAATCTAATCGTATGCAAAGCAAAAAGGATGGAAACTCAGATAGTAATAAGGCCCTACCTGTACTGGACTCAGACAGCTCATCTTGGGCTGGTTTAAACCTGAGTTTCAATTTCACTAAGTTATTTGGGTCAGTTCAAATTCAGGATGCCCTGGAGACAATCATGACTCTTGATGGAAATTGTTATGAATAATGGGGCTATTTGGCTACGAGTAGAAAATATGTTCCCTGTTAAATCATTGTCACCCCAGGCAAGAATATTATTCTCCCAGCTCTTTCCTCTGACCTTCTCCCTTCCCCCTTATTCATTTGCTCAAGGGCTGCTCTGCCTTTGCCACACTTAATGCCTCCCCTGATGGCTACAAGGTGTATTGCACGAGGGGGGAATGACTAAATCCGGAGGGAGAGCCAGACACGGAATGGAATGTTTGGGGGTTTTTGGTTCCTTGGTTTCTTGGTTGGTTGGTTGGGTGGGGGGTTTTTGGGTTTTTTGTTTTTTTTTGTTTGTTTGGTTTGTTGGTTTTTTGTTTTGTTGGGGTTTTTTTGTTTTGTTTTGTTTTGTTTTTGTTTTGTTTTGTTTTGTTTTGTTTTTTCTTTTTACATAATCTCCCCTATCCAAAAGATGAAAGGAGAAACAGGCAGCCTCTGCATAATATCTGTTGTCTGACATCATCCTACTGTCCCTTAGTACTACTGTAGAAGTGCTCTACCATATGTTCATTATCTGTGATTCTGGAAAAGGATATGTCAGTAGCTGAAAGTCAGTTTTATTTATTTCCCTTTTACTATGTATTTCACCTCTTTCAGATCAACATGGAGCAAAATGTAGAAATTGCTGGAAATCTGTAAGGGGACGCAATAAGGACTGAGAATCAAAGGATTGATTCTTCATGTATTCCATAACTGGCACAAATAGAAGTAGTAGACTCTTCCAAGACTGCTGATTAACTGCAGTTTTTTTTGACATTTTAGAAATTATAACTAGGTAACTTCCCAGACTTCCTGCCTCAAAAAGTAGAGGTATAACGTGTAAAAAACTGTTTCATCTACTGACAGTAACAAACCTAATAGTACTAGTAGAATAAATACTCTTATTTCAAAACAACTTGAAAATAATACAGTAAATGAAATGTGGCAAACTTGTCAGTGCATTTTAATATAGGACTTAGTTAATATTCTTAGTTATGATGTAGGAAGCATAGGTACAGGAAAGAAATTTGCTTTCAGGAGGTCTGAAAAGAAAAAGAATGTTACTTCTTAAATATTTAAGTTAATACCAGGGAAAGAAATTTTGCCTTCTAATAAGCCTAGTTTAGAAGTTTCACAAAACTCAGAATAGAATTGAAAAATAATGTGAGACTTTTCCTTATAGTATGAAAGCTGTAGTACAGTAACATGCTCTTCTTTTCTGTCTTTCCATCTTAAACCTGTGATTATTTAAAATTACATTAATTATTCCATTATAAGTGCAGACTTAAAACCTTTACAAAGTTCCTTCTGTGCATCACTTCCTATGCTGATGTTAGCTCCAGAAGCTGTGTATTATTCATATGAGATGATGTCAAGATCAGCTTTGTCTGCATATAGAAGGCCAGATTCAGATATCAAGAGCATTTGTCACCAGGACAGTCAGGCTTATCAAAACTATTGAAACAGCACATTGAGATTCTGCTTTGCTGTAAGAAGAGCTGCATCCAAGAAAAATATTGTCATAAAACATTTCATCCGGAAAACACATAATTATAAATGATAGGATAAACTTCTCATTTGTAAAAGCACATTATGTCACATTAATTTTTGAAAGATGTGATTTTTTTTGCAGTTATTTTGAATGGAAGATCAAGAACATTTAGTTGTCATATTTTCAAATTAAGAATCAGAAGTTATGAGAAGACTGTGAACTAAGCATATAGTTTTACTTGTGTCTGTTTTCATTATTTCATTAAAAAATTTATTTTACAGACATCAGCATGGCTTCATACATCATGAAGGCATCGAGTGTTTCCTATTCCATATGTACTTTGGATAAAGTTTATTTTATTGTGTCAACAAGAGGAAATGCTTGAGAAATTGAAATACTGTCAACTATGTCCTCAAAGTTCTGTAATGTATATATATGCAATTTTGTTGCTGATACAACTTAATATTATTACTACTGACATTTTAAAAGTACTTCCAGATCAAGTTCCAGCAGTGGAAAATAACTGTCTATCCCTAAAGAATCTAAAGCTTATAGGATAAGAGTTAAGGTTAGCATTTTTTTCATATTCCTAACCGATATATGACTATTAGGCCAGAGCACAAGCCTTTCATTATTTATACTTTCAACAACAAGCTACTTACTATAGGTAACACCAGTTTCACATGAGTTCAGCATTTAAAAATTAGATGGTCAGTATAATAACCAGCTAATCTAGAGTATTTCTCTTGTCAGTGGGATAGGATCACACTTCTGGAGGATGGCTCTTCCCATCTCTAGATGGTGAAATGAGCCATATTCTGACCCTTTTCAGACAACTGGAATCTTCCTCCTGATCTAAACCACTTTTCCGAAGTCTCATTTTGTGACAGGTTAAGTACAACAGAATCTGTATGAAAGACTCATAGAAAGATATGCAGAACAAAATCTTAGATGAGCAAAACTGGACAGAATTAATACCATAGAGGTCCAGCGCTGAAACTTTTTTTTAGAAAAGATGCCATTGGCTTTCATTCATGTTTGCTTCAGAAGAGTGACATATTCTACTGCCAAATGTTCCAGTTTTATCTAATACTCTGTAATAAAAAATTTAAAGATACTTTGAGAAGAGAATAACAAAAACATTAAACTGGTCTATATTGTGAGTGCATGGCTTTGGGGTTTTTCTTTAGTCCTACAAAAATTAAAAAAGCTCTAAAACTTAAATAGAAAACTACAGTTATTACAAGGAATTGCACAGGGGAATATATGAGGACATCTATTTTCCTCATTAGGACTTCAGTCACAGTGATTCAGAAATGGACAACATCTGCATATAGTCAGCAGGGATCTGATTATAAGTGTTTGAATTACTAAGTTCACTGTGGGGTTTATCCTAAATAGGTAGTCTTCAGTTTGTGAAGTTTACCAAACAAAGCCAAGATATTTTCCTATTGGAACTATGTCTTGATGAAAGCATTTTTACTTGGGTTCATGGCAACGTGAACTTCTAGTCACAAGTTGCACAAAAGCCTAGACATAACCTATGACACTTGAACCCTATACTTACCATGTATATCAATTAAAAAAGATTTATGTTTATGATGGCTATAAGAGTAACATTATAGCATAATGGTTTCCTTGTTAGAAAAAAAAAAAAGAGAAAAAACTTCCTTTTCTGCCACATTATCCTTGATGATCCATTAATTACTACGCATTACCTTGTGAAACTCAAATGCAGTGAAAACATCTTGCAAGACCAGAGTCCTCCGTGTGTGTTATTTTTTTACTAGCTTTGTGGATTTAAAGGTCTTTTTCCTTTCCTTCTCTTCACAGGAAACGATCTCTTTCTAGTTGCAGTTCATGAACTCGGACATGCCCTGGGCTTAGAGCACTCTAATGATCCCACTGCAATCATGGCTCCATTTTACCAATATATGGAAACTGACAACTTCAAACTACCTAATGACGATTTACAGGGCATCCAGAAGATATATGGTATGTTGTGTTCTCATTAGACAACACAAGCTTTTTGGTTTAGAGTAACTTTGAGGTCCTCCTGGCCATATCACCTCTCCAAAGGGCTCAGTGGTGTGAACGTCACCAGTTGTTATGCCAGAGTCTCTGTGTGAGTAAAACATCCAAAGATTTTGAGGACACTCTTACTCTTTTTCTTACTGTTCAAAACTTATATTCAAATCTGCACTCATCTGGAACAGTAATTTTAAATGTCTTAAAAATCCATAAAGACAATTCAATCAAAATTATTCCAAACTATGAAAATATTAAGAAATGCAGGTCTTTAACTATAATGAGATTATTTACACAGGTGTACAAGCTCACGTAACTGGATGAATTGATTGCTTCTCAGTTTATCAGTTATAATACAGAAAATTTCTCTCAAAATCCAAGGTCCTGTAAATACCCTTTCTTATGATATATATAACAAATTGATCTCAAAATAGTGTTATAGTCCCTACAGAGGGTAAAGAAGGGACTACTTCTTTAAAATATGTTCATTTCGTTTTTTATGGCCTGATATAAAATACATGTGATACAAATAAATTCTGCATTTAACAAGAAAATTGAATTTTTTTTTAAATTACTAACAATAGCATAATTGTGATTATGTGTTGAATGTAATACTAACTCCCATATTACTATCCCTTAAACTTCCAAAGACATAGCTTTAGGGTTTTTTTTAATGACTTTGATTCTGTTGGTATATGTTTAATAGTTTTAAGGTTTTGGTTTTTTTCTTTAAAGATCTATTTGACTTTCAGAATTGAAAATTCTGTTGCATCTCCATGTTAATGTTCTCTATCCAGTGCATATACTTTGATATTGCCTTGCTCAATATTCCTTAATTAAATCTGCACTGGATTAAATTCTGTACTTCCAGTTTTTCCTGTTTAGTTTGTTGTATTTATGTTGAATATTGTGAGGGCCATTCCTTCTTTATCCATCCTACCAGAAAGAACAGCTATGATCATGTAGAATTACTGTACTGCTAACTAGAAATCTGTAGACTCCATGGTGTAATAGTAACAGGAATTTTAAAATATCATATTCACAAGCACAGATAGATATTTTTGTAAAGCATAAATAGCAATTTCAGAATGATTGGCTGATCAAGTTTTGTTTGGTTGGGTTTTTTTTCCTGTGTGATTAGCTGGAGGGAAGGTTGTTTCTCATGACCTCATAAGTTGGTAGTCTAGACTTAAGGGCTAGACAAGAATATTTTGCTGAAAACTAGCTGCTAAGCTCAAACAGCTGTGGGCTATACATTAGGAGAAATGTGTTACCCCTGGGAAGTAATATCTGACATCACCACCAAATAGCATAAAAAAACTTTGATTTGAGGTTACAAACTTTCCAACACGAGCTACTGCAAACTGATTCCTTTGCTCCCTTTAAAATCAAGATGTGATCTGGAATCATATGCCTCAATAAAAATGTCACACCTATTAAAATAATTACTTTGGTCTGCAGTATTCCTTGAAATACTGTTATTAACTTTAAATTATAAATGTCACAAGTCTTAAGATTGTGAATGAAATAAATGCCTTATTAAATCACATGACAACCATTTGGCAAGTTTAAGAGTTCCGTACATAATCCATCTTTTTTTTTCTTATAAAGTATGTGGTTTTTCATAAAATTCTCAGAAATTCAAATGTCATTTTTGCAGTTTTAGAGTTGTCTTACTATTCAAAAGTGTTTCTGAAGGTGGTCAAAAGAAACAGTATTTCTTTTTAAAGTCAAAGTGTATTATCTATTTAAATTATTTAGAGAGAGGCCTAAATAGAGTGAGCAAAAATTAAAACATTCATCTTGTTTCCAGACGTGAAGCTATAAGTGAAGCTTCTTATCTTTTTGTCCATGAAAAATAAATGTTGCTGATATGTGTAGAGAGGGGCAGGCATTTTCAGTAACTCATTTCAAGTCATTCAGTATGCCATTTAGGGTCATGATTAGTATCTGTCTGGGATGGCCTGATGACTTGCAGGTAGAAAAACTATGAGTTGAATAGTAATTTCATAAAACTCAGTATATTTTGACGAATAATATATTTGAATGAAGAAAAATGTTTTAAGACTGCTCAACAGAGTTTTAGTTTTTCACTTGAAGAAAATATGCCAATCATGGCAGGGGGGTGATGGGGTATGTGTGTTGTATACATGCCCAAAACTTGAGGTCCAGTTTTAGTAGCTGCTGTACATCCCAAAGGACATTAGAAAAAGCTGGGATTGTCCTGTCTCTAATGAATATGATATTACTTGATCTAAAAATTTGGTCAGTAGTAAGTAGCAGGTATGCTACATATGTGCCTGTGTGAATTGATAACTATATATTCAAAATATACATTGAAAATCTATTGACTGATGATGATCTTATAAAGAACAAGATCTTTTTTCATTTTTTTGTACGAGAGAAAATGTCCTGTTATCAGAACTCAATTGGTAAATAATTTGCTTTGGACTATTTCTCATCTGACATGATGGTGGCCTAAGCATCCTTTGAAGGATTTATTAGAATTTTTTTCCAAAAAGGAAGATTTTAGATAATGAAAACTAATTATTTTCCTTGGTTTTGGTAGTCATTCTTTATACCCTTTATAAGCACTGCCTGTTTGGTAACTGGAACAGGCTCCCCAGGGAAGTGGTCACAGCGCCAGCCTGACTGAGTTCAAGAGGCACATGGACAATGCTCTCAGGCACACAGTGTGACTCTTGGGGTGTCCTGGGCGGGGCCAGGAGTTGGACTCAGTCATTCTGATAGGTTCCTTCCAACTCAGCATATTCTGTCATTCTATGATTCAATGATTTAATAACATCAGCCAGGTATGTCAGGTCACTTTTTCATTCCCCTTTCACTGTTGGGTTTGTACAGCTTACAGCTGGTTTTGTTGTATATGTTTCCTGTAGTGGGTTTGTATATTACATCCAGCTGCTGTATTTTTAAAGGTCCACCTGACAGGATACCACCACCAACAAGACCTCTGCCAACAGTGCCCCCACATCGTTCAGTCCCTCCAGCAGACCCACGAAAGAATGACAGGCAACCTAAACCTCCCCGGCCACCCACTGGTGACAAACCTTCCTATCCCGGAGCCAAGCCTAACATCTGTGATGGGAACTTCAACACTCTGGCTATTCTTCGCCGGGAAATGTTTGTTTTTAAGGTAGGAGGCTGTGAATTTTTCAGTGTTACATCAAATGTCTAAATTTTTTTTTTTTATAAAGCAAACTTTCATTCGTCATGACTCTACATTCCCAGCCTGCTCACAGTTAGAAAGTTCAAGAAAAAAATTTAAAAATAAACATACACATGGCTTAAACATCTAGCAGGGGACGGCTGTAATGTTCTATTTTAAGAAAATACCCATGTCAGCAGAAACTGTAATGCCTCAAAATGTATGGGTAAATAAATACTGCATGTTATGGAAAGATAAAAAGTGTAAATCAATTCATGAATAATAGGGATGGTTTTGTTGGAAATACAGCCACATGCCATCATACAGTAGATACTATTAATTCAGTACTTGGTTTTTTTTCATGGAACTATAATTTTAACTTTATGATTAGATCTGTCATTTACAAAGGAAGTTTGTCATTGTGTTGTGGCTGCACTGAAACCACAATATCTTACTAAAGGTCTTTGCCACAAAATTCTTACTGCAAATGTGCCATTATTTATGTCCATTCATCTTCTTGCTCTGAGCTGATAATGTGGTGTATATACAATAAATTGAAATAAACAAATTGGACTGAAAGGCAGTCTTTTAATAGAAGCACTTTGCTGAGACTCATGGACATCAAAGGTATCTTTAGGAGGATGATCTGCAGTATGGTTTCCAGAAGGCATTGAATGTTGGAGAAAAAATTACAGAATCATTATTGCTCAGTCTCTTAAACCAATTTCCTGTCAGGTAATCTTGTGCAAAAGATTCAGAAAAAAGCAAGAAGATAATCTGGTTTTTTTTGAAGTAATAGTGTGCCACATTTGCTTAAGCAATAGGAAGTGTGAGATCTTTGTTTTGTAAATGTGTGATAGGATCCTTTTTATCTTCTGTATTCTAGGTAGAGAAGAAGGGCCTTTCATGTGACTAGATAAGCATTTTCTCTTCAGCACTAGTGTAAGTGCAAGGGAAAAACAATGTATTTGTCCCAAAACATGAAACTCTCTGTTCAATTTTGTTTCCTTTTCTGATAGGACTCATTTCTCCCGTATGTGTTTTCTTTTAATATAATCCATTTTACCAGATAAACCTTATTAGCAATGCTACCCAGGCTTTCACTTTCTTTAGCATATCTAAAAAACATGTACAAGTAGTTTTATTTATTCATTCAAAATTATTGAGCTAACTTCACAATCCAATGGACAGGAAATATTTTTCCCATAAACAACTAAGGATTTTTGCAGCCTAGGGCTGTCAGCCCATTCCATTTGAATAGATGGTATATGGTGAAACACTGGGAGGTCCTGAACCATCAGTCTTTTATGACTAAAACTCAAAGGTTGAGGAAGAACCTAATTTTCTAACTTGACATTAAACAGGATATTAAAATACCTACTTCAATCTCATGTCATCCACCTCAAGAGCAATAGAACATATTCTCATTTAGTTTAGACATAAATCAATGAACTGAGAAATTCTGTTCCACTAATACAAAATTTCCTGTCTAGGCAGGCCTGTGTTCCTGGATAAATATATTCACCACCATTAATAATCACTCTTATCTCGTCTGATTGAAAACAAATTAAGTTTTCTTCAAAAATGTTTACTGCTTACTCCTAACACCACATATTTACTATAAAGTGTGTATGCTTGCTAGTGTGCTGACCACATTTATGTTCCAGAATCAAAAGTCCTTTCATGATGATTCCAATGAGGAAATATGATAAAAGTCTCTCAGAGAAAAGTGACCAGTAACAGAACGCTTCTGGATTTCATGTATACAGTCTGACTTCCCAGATGAAGTCACTGCAATCAGAAAAGCAACGTGCTAGGAAGGGAAGTAAGAGGTCACCTTTGTTGAGGTTAGTTTCTTTAGGGTCCCGCAGTTTGCCTTTTCTCCTCAGTATGCCTAGGAACATAACAAGGCGTGCCTTGGGGTAGGGTGCTCAGCAATGGAATTCGCCTAAGTATAGGGATTTTGACTTTGTAGAATGAGTGTCTTTGAAGACCTGACTTAGTGATCCTTAAGTGTTTTCATCGTAAATTAATTTGCTAGTGAAGATTTTTGTCTGATAAAGGATTTTTATTAACTGTTTGGGATTTTTTGAGGGGGTATCAGGGGATGATTTTAAGGGAGTACTATAAAAGGGGCAGAAAAGAGTTAGAAAAGTCAACTTTGTAGAATCCTGGGGTGTGAGACAGGTTATAAGGAAAAGCTCAGTGTGTCTGAATATAGCAGAAAAAGGGCAGGAATTAGTTCTTAGGAGGTGAAATAGGGACTGAACACAGGGAAATCATCCAGCAAAGGAGGAAACCAAGCTGGAGGTTTTGTCACAAAAAAAATAACCCAAGCCTCTCTTCCCTTGCTCCTTAATGATAGTGCAAGGGAAGACTGGGAGGGCATGAGTGATGGGCTGGGAGCCAAGTACAGAAAGGTGGAGAACGGGGGATTGATGACAGTACTGTACCAGGTGGAAACAATTAAAGAAGAATTATGACCTTCATTGGAAGAATTATTGCTGGATAGTTCCCAGATGAGTTAAATGAATACAGTTGGAGACTAATCAAATTAAAACCTTTTCTTTCTTTGTCTTTATCCAGAGGTCTGTAATTATTGTGTAGTGGCAGATTTTACTGCATCCTGAATGGAATATATGCCATGTACTTATTTCAAATTGAAAATAGCCTTTTTTTTTTCCTTATGGGCAAGTCTCAAATTCTGGAGCTCAATTTGTTTAAATAATTCTTGAAATTGCTTGGGAACTTTAGCACTTTTGAATAATTAAATTCTAATTTAAACATAAAACAGAAACCTAAAATCTAACACGTTGAGGTACACTGTTGATTTTCATAGTAGATGACAAACATTACTAATTTCAAGATTGTTTTCTCTTTGCTGTTGGGCTACTCGGCATATATAAGAGCATCAGAATATTAGAAACAATTTCTATATTTAGTCAAATTAATGATCTTTGGTTTTAAGACTATATGGCATTCTCAAATGGATATATCCAGGGTAAAACTGAATCACACTAAATTTAAGGAGAAAATGCAATTTACAGTGATCCATCCCTTTTTATTGCTTTGCCATTACTTTGGCAAAGTAACAATCTTAAAAACACTTGATAAAATTTCTAGGATCATAGAGATGAAAAACAGGGGAACTCTTCTTGATCTAACATAAATATTAAATGCAAAAGTGAAGCAATCAACTTACTAAAGATTCCCCAATGATCACCAAAAAAAATGTAATTTTACAGATCAGATTTTTTTTGTAGGAATTATTGGATTTTAAAGAAAAGGTAATTATTTTACACCAAATATACACATATCAATATCACTGACATATAAATGTATTGTCCCGAGAGGATTTCTTCCAGAATTCTTTAAATTAGATGCCCTTAAAATGTCCCTGCCAGCTGTAAGGTTTGGGGACACAGTATGCTATGCAATGAAAATGTTTGTTAAAATCAATACATCATAACTATTGGTTTCGTTGTCACCAACTGATAAATACTGCTGTTATTTGATTCATGCTTGAATTGGTATAAGGAACTATCAGGGCAGGAGAATTTCTATGCCAAAATTCATGTGTGCCAAGTTTTTAATCTTTGGATAGCTTCTTAGCTTCTGTATTTATACTCCGTACAATTACTATTTTGCTGTCACACTCATTTCCAGCCTTTTCTTCTGTTTAGTTAGAAGTCCCCTGGGACACAGAAAAATGGCTGAAAATGGTGAAAAAAAAAAGGTCTTTTTTTTCTGGGCAAGCTATGCAAAGTGTCTGCCTTTAATGAAATTAAAGTAGTACCACAGTGTCTGCATTTAATGAAAATCCTCTCAGCCATTGTGTATAGCAATATGTGGTATCCAACAATACTGTCTTCTTAATGTCTCCTGAGAGTACCTCCAGGGCTAGTGCATCATGAAAAGAAACCCCATTGTCTAAGGTCTGCAGAAAAAATCCATCAGTGAAGAAGTTTGCAGCATGCACTTCAACTTTCTTCTTTGTGTCCTGGGCAATTCACACTTTGTTCCAAGGCAACAAAATTACCTGAAGCTCTTCTTCATCAAACGGTGTGACTGCTGGCAATATCCTTTTCCTTTACATTCTTTTCAGTCTCACAGATTTAAAAAAATCTTGCTTTCTTGAGCAAGTTGCATCTCAAAAAGTAAGCATATGTAAAATTTGTCCTTCATAAGCATCAAATAAGAGGGACAAATTACTGTCCTTTTTTTATATGACACAGGTTTCTGTTTCACAGAAGAACATTTCACAGAGCTTGCACTGGTCCTTTGTTAAACGCTAAATCCCTAGGAAACCAATGCATCCTGTATAATCTCTAATGGTTTTAGTATTCATGTTGGAAAAGTTAACTCCTTGGAGAACAGCATTTTTTAGCTACTTTCATATACTGTGGTGTATGTTGACATGTAATTTAAGTATTAGATAAAGAATTTTGTCCAGCAGACAAATAGCATTTACAGCTCAGAGGAATGTCTTCTGAACACTGCAGAAGAATATATGGTAGAATATAGAACTAGTTTGAGGAAGGCCTTAACGGGCTGTAGTATTTTCTCCACAACTTGCAGAAATTTGTTTTCTGACTCTTGATCTGCTAAGAACCATTGTAAAAACATTTATGACATGCCAAACAAGCCAAGGAAATCAGGCTGTAATTACTCCTTGGCATTAGTTTAGACTGTGATTTCTTTCATACGTAACAGTATAGATTCCATTTAATATCCCTCTTAGAACTGTGTATTTATATAGAGTATGCCATTAAACACAAAAGGAAAAAAAACTGTTTCTTGATATGTGGTAAACACACGAGAAACTTTTAAAGCATTTTAGCATTGGCTATTTAATCTAATTAAAAATCTGTGAGACAGAGGGAAAATAATGCTAATAAAAGCAGAGGCAAAGAAATAGCTATAGTATGAGACTTGATTTCACTGTATTTGAAAGCCGACTTTTTTTTCAGAACTCTTTTGGTCTGTTT